CTAATTCTGGAGGTTGTTACAAAGCCTGAAGACTCCTCCTGATGTTGGACTGGGTGTGTGATTGTTAGGAAGGCTGCCTTGCCCATGTGGCATCACTAAGTTAGGAATTCTGCCTTATTTAGGAAATACCAATTTTTTTAATTGTTTGCCTAAAAATTCCCTTCATACTGAGAAAACCTGGAACCTCTGAGGAACTGGGGAATGCCTTTCAGCTATCTACACTGCAATTTAGTTTTAACCTTTTTAGTAAACTATTCCATTTCCCGTAGAATGTTTATCATCATTATTCAAGCTGGCTCAAGTTCACCTTGTCTGCTGAAGGTCATAGTTTTCATAAAACTTACAGTACAGGAAGTCATCTGGTTTCATGCTTGTCTTCCTTCTCCAGCCCTGAAACAACTCTCCCATAGCTGTGTTGCTTTTGAAGTAACAAGACAAATATTTTTGAATAAAAACATTTTGAATGTAATTGACACCAAACACAGGCATATTGTAACAGAAATACAGGGAAAGGAATATACATTCACCTCCATAGAAAAGTAGAGAAGTTCTTCACAGTGCTTGTTGGTATGCTTGAAGGTTTTTCTGTTAATAATCTATATGGCCTATGGGCTTTGAAATTGAATAAAATAAATTAGCTTACCAGGAAAGCTGTATTTGTGATCTCCAGGCAGATTGTCAGCAAAGTAGGTTCACCCAGCATTGCAGTGGAGAGACCTGATTTGTGCTCTGAAAAATCCTGCTTTCTTGAGGGAGGTGAGAGAACCAGTTTTTGACCAAGAATCCTCTAGATAATAAAGAATAGTTGGTATCATTTTGATTTTTGTTTTTGTTTGCAGTTGAATTTATCTCACTCTTTCTTTCCTCCTGAATGCTGCTGCCTCTCCCTAGATGACAGCAGAACCACAAGCCAGCTGGATGAGTTTCAGGAGTGTCTGTCCAAGTTCACACGCTACAATTCTGTCCGACCCCTGGCAACATTGTCTTATGCTAGTGACCTCTACAATGGCTCCAGCATCGTGTCCAGGTAAGACCTGCTGCAGCCCTGACACTGCAGCACATGCTGATACAGTTTGCTGAGCCTGACTTAACAACCCCTAGAAAGCAAGTTATGGTCTGTACATGTGTAACATGTTGCGGTTGCTTCCCAAAAATAGTGTTGCAAATGTGGTTATCATTGATCTGCAAAGGCATTCAGGTACCATGGTGTGGTACCTTTTGTACTTGGTGTTGGTCAAGACCCAATGCAAAACCTTTGAGGTGCCAGTGAGTATCTGGATCTGTTGTCATGAAGCACAAAGCCTGTTGGAGGCTCAGTCCTCTTCATTCTACCATAAGTGTGTTGTAACTAACACAATTCTAGCATGTTAAGAAGTCTCAATCTTGCTTTGCATTGGTAGCTTTAAGAATCTGTGGTGGTTTTAAATATTGTTGGTGGATCAGTCATCATGGCAAGTATTAAATAGCCAAGTTTTTAACTGCAGTTGCTTGAACTGTTGAGGGTTGGAAGCTCTGTTTACAGAGCTCAATACCAGTGAGGGTGGTTGTGGTAAAACCAACTCAACAGCTCTGTTCCTGCCAGCAGCTATGCTGTATATTCCCTGCCATGTGGGGTGAACATACCCTGTGCTCCACTGCTGAAGCTCATCTGAGCCTCCTCTGGACCAGTTTGAATCCTTAAGCTGTTGAAATGCTATTGATAGTCTTTCCACAAAATTAGTTTTGTCTAGTTATCCTCCACAAACCAGTTGCCTTAGGGGTTGGGCTGGAGAGAGCATGTAAGATAGGGAGAGGCTGGGACCTGCCATCAGCCCTAACCTTCAAGTGGTTTCAGCAGCTGTGGAAGCATACCCTGGGGATTTAGTCTGCAGGATCTGGTTTGGAGCTGGTAGTGGTTAACTGGGAAATCTCTTTTTCATGTCACATACACAGGATCCATTAGCTTCTTACAGAAATGTTTCACAGATTTGAATGTCTGTTCACAGCAACCTTTTGAGGGGGAGAAGTAGCATCATCTCTATTTTATAGATGGGGAGCAGGAGATCCAAAATGGCCATACCTGAAGTCTTGAAAGAAACATAAGATAATGAGGTGAACCTGGGTTTTCTGAGCCTTAATCCTATGGCTTATGAAGGGGCCATTTGGCCAGAGACAGAACAGCTTCTTTTGGTGAAAGACCCCAAGAAACTTGCGCCATATGCAGAAGAGGAGGCATGTATAGCATAGAGTACTTAATTTTTCTTCAAGCAGCATTGATTCCCTAACTGCTGCAATATGTAGCAGG